TAAATATTATTAGTTAGTAATCTCTGACTTTTCTTCATAATTTGAGATTATCTTTAAATATATATCAGGTTATGTAGAAAGCGTGACATTGATTTTTGTGTAAAAATTTAATATGAAACTTTACTTACCATTTTTTAGTTTTTATTGTAAGTTTAATCATTTTCACAATTTGTCAAAGATGTCAAATAAACAATATATTTTTTAAATACCTTTTATTGGCAAATAAAATAAGAACTAAAATGTTTTAAATGTTTATTTTATAAGATCAGTCCCATCACAATACATAATATTACACAGACACAAACTAGAATAAAGATATATAATGCCTGGCATTCTAAATGATACTCTTCGCAGTTCAACAGAGCCCCTTAGTCCCCATTTTCAAACAGATTTTTTTTTCACAATCAATAGGCCTCAACTCCTTATAGAGTTTGATTTTTACTAAAAATTTCATGTTGATATCGCTTTTCATTTTTGATTTTTTTTAATTTCAACCCGCCTTAAATCCCCCATATTTAATCAGATTTTTTTTATAATTAAAGGGCTTCTTCTCCTTTTAGAAATTGATGTTTGCTAACAATTTCAAGTGTATATTATTTTTCGTTTTTCAGTTAGGATTTTTTTTATATTTTAACCCCCCTTAACTCCCCAATATATTCATATTTTTTTCAGTATCAGTAGGCTTTATCTTCTTATAAAGCTTCATTTTTACTAAAAATTTCATGTAGATATCACTTTTCGTTTATAATTTAGGATTTTTTTTTAATTTCAACCCATCTTAACCCCCTATTTTTAATCAGATTTGTTAAAAATCAATAGGCTTTGTCCCCTTATAGAGCTTGATTTTTGCTTAAAATTTTCAAATTCATATTATTTTTCGTTTTTGATTTATAGTGCAGACAAAAAACGTGACATTGGACAGACAGACAAAGTAAACCTATAATACTCTTCACAAAATACTGTATGAAGAGTAGAAAAAAAAAATGTATGAGATAAAATAAACAATTTAAGAAGGTCAACAATAATATTCAACTTCTTTTATCAAAGGATACTAAAAGTTTGAAATAGCAGCACATAATTGAACACAGAACACAGAAATCTGTGAACTAAACTAGTGACATATATAACGTAAAATGTTATCACACTTAATTTTCCATATTATGATCCTTTCTATGTGTATCTCACAGCACATTTTAAAGTATTCTTGCACTCACTAATGTCCTACCCTCATGGCTGCTTTTGCATGTCCAAGTTTACTAAAAAAATAATGTGTTTTAAGTTTTAATAAATAGAATAATAGTAATTTTGTTTAAATAGGTAAATCGGCTTCATCTGTATTTCCAAATTATTGTTTAATTGTAGATAGTATATTAATGTTTTGATATGTACTTATAGGATCGATTAGCCAGAGCATGTAGATATCTGAGATGTGACTTGTTAAGTGCCTAATCAAAATCACAGTTTATGTTTGATACTTATTTCGAGACTCTTTTCGAGACATTCTTTATTACCAACTGTAAATTAATTTACCAATAGCCTTATTTTTATTTAATATCTGTAGTGATTCAAATTACCATAACATCTAATATTTTTGAAAATACTAAATTATACAAACAAGGCAATAAAAAAATTTCTGGTTTGTATGCAACAAACGATCTTGGTTAGAGGGTAACACGATTGATAATTGCAGGCAAACATAACTTTATATAGGTAAACTATTTAAATGTACATACCATTTCTTAGGTAAAATTTCTCATCGAGTATATTAAATTAACTCCTTAATCCATTTTTTCGATTCAGACTTTTAAAGTGAAAAACCATTTGTCTCTTTATCTTTATCAAATTTTTATTGTACATTTCCATAATGATGTCTAGTGACCTCATCAGAATAATTCAATTTTTCCTTTTAGCAGGTTTTGTGAGAAAAAAAATTACAATTTTTTTTGCTTAGTTCATAGTATTTACAATTGAATACAAGATAGACCATTTTGAAGTAGTCCTTGGATGTTCTTAGACACTAAAACAAAATATAATACAAATTAGAGTCGTAAAAATTTATTATATGTAAATAAATCAACACAACCTTAAAAATTTTAATTTACCTTGCCTTTCGGGAACAATCTTTGAATTGGCACACATCTTTCAATTTATTGAAGACACAGTTCTTAATTAAACACATTTTTTTAAATAAGCACAATTAATATAATCTTACGTTTTTTCTGTATTTAATAGTAGGTAGAGGAATGACAACTCATGACAGTGACAATTTGTTTGATTTGATACAGTGTTGCCAGGATATGTTTTTGTTATGTACCAGATTTGTCTAAAAATGTACCAGATTCCTTAAATGTATCAGATTTTTCGAATTCTATTTGCAATGACATCTAATTCATTGAAAGGGAAAAAAGGGTCTTTATTGATAATGAACCCAAACAAGGAACACAATATATATAAATATATATTTTACACGTGAACACTGATGCACGCAGAAAGTACTACATCTAGTACAATTGTGAATTGTACTAGACTGGCAACACTGGTTTGGCAACCTTGTTTGTGAGCGGTGCGCCAATTAATAGAGAGTTATTGCAAGTTCACTTAAGGTCAGTCACTATTAGTGCCGCTCTTATTTTGACATCTGAGCATGCGCATATCACTAACTTTAATAAAGATTGTTCCTGTCCTTAATAGAGAGATATTGCAAATTTCTATAAAGCCAGCCACTAATAGTGACATCGTAATTAGAGTCAAATCAATTCTATAATAGTACCTAATATTAAAGAGGCATTAGAAATTATAATTTTAGAAGGTTTAAATGACGAGCGCATCCGAAAGCTATAAAGTCGCCACTACCTGCTGCCCTTAAACATCCACAATTAAGGACAGGCACAATCCTTAATAAAGTCAGTTTTAGAACATAAACATCTGCGCATGCTTAGATGTCAAAATAAGAGCGGCACTAATAGTGACTGACCCTAAGTGAACTTGCAATAACTCTCTAATAAGAGAGTTATTGCAAGAAAAATGAATTTGGCGATGCAACGAAAGTTGTACTTAGATTAGTACAACCAATAATTAATACTGGTAAAAATGTTACAACAGATAATTGGTATACATCTGTTGAACTTACAAATTAACTATTAAAGCAAAAGTTAACTCTTTTTGGAACTGTAAACAAGAGGAAAACATTTATTCCACCTGAATTTTTACCTTAAAAGAAAAGAGAAGAGCAAGAATGCATTTTTGGTTTTCAGTCAGAGTTGATATTGGTGTCTTACGTACCAAAGCGAAATAAATCCGTAGTATTGCTTTCTAGTATGCACAATGATAAATTAGTTGATTAGGAAACTAAGAAACCTGATATAATTTTGTTTTATAACAGCACAAAGGCAGGTGAACTCACAGATGGCCTATGGCAATATTTTCCATGAGGCTTAATGTTTCAGCCGTCAATAGTAGAGTTCTATATCAATTTTCTCAACTTGGAAAAGAAATTAAGAGACCTGAGTTTATCAAAGAACTTGGGATTGCATTATGTCAACCACTTCTCCGACTTAGAGTATCCAATTCAAAGGTAAACCGCAAATTACGTGATGTGGCTTCCAATATTTTTAAAATTGATATCGAACGTCTCGTTGAACCCTTAGAAGTTGTTTCGAAGTCCAAACGCAAACGATGTTCATTATGTCCCGCAAAAACAAGACAGGAAAACAAACATCAATTGCGTGGTGTGTAAAAATCCCATATGCTTACAATGTGCAAAAAAAGTATGTGCCAATTGTTTGTATAGTAAATTTCGTTTAGTTTATACTTAATAATATTCATGAGGATATGTATTTTATAATTTCAATATACTTTTGTTTATATTCATATTTTTATTCATCCCTTTTTTAATGGGTCCCTAGGACCCAGTTGTATTACTTGCGTAACTTATATTTGTGGGTAGCAGTTATGGGTTAACTCAAACACGAGTTCGTTAAAAGATTCATGACACCATGCGGATTTACTGCTATAAACCTGATGTAATTTGTTTGAAACCCAAGCCCGATAAAAATTATCAAATTCAAAATTTATTGTCGTTTTTTTCCTTAAAAATTTGTTGCAAATATTTGAAACAAGATCTACATAACATTAAATTATATTTTTTAATCTTATATTAATTAAATTAAGTACAGCAGTAGTCACAATAGGTAAATATTTCCAAATCATTACTGTCTATCAAGGCTTCTCTAAGTTCTGGAGTCATTTCAAAATTTTCTTTGTATCCAAAATTTATCAGACTTTTCATTACTGTTGTTTGTGTTGTTGTATATTTATATATACATATATTGAAAAATTAATTCAAACATTTTTGTTTTTCCATTACGCTGAAAAGACCTAAAGGTAGGGTATCGTGTGAGCCCGGAATTATATGACGTTTATCATCAAACGAGTTTAAGGTGATTTTTGATTTGTTCAATGCTGTTTTCATTATGTAACTTAGGATTGTATGCAATGTTGAGTGGTATAAAATATAGAATCATTTGTAAACATTCTAAATAATCTTCAAATTTGATTTAATTCTTGAAAACATTTGTTTTTATCCCTTTTGACTTTTTAAATACTTCCCCCTCTACCTTAAAAGTATACTGCTTCGAGCGTAATCCTACTAAATGACTCATTATTTTGGAATTGTTTTTGTCTTTCATTAGTCCTGGGATCTTTTTATTTACTAACAGTATGCTCCACCGATTATTTTTAGGATAGTCGCTGGTATCGAATCTTACAATAGCTTTTTTTTAATTACCTCTTCATATGCGTCATTACACTCTATTTCATATGTAAGACTATCGGTATCTGTATACAAAAGCTTACATTCATCAAACATAAACTTTTCTAACATATAATCATAATAAAATTCATACACGCAAATTTTTGATATATCTAAAATTGCCATTCCTACAAATAAAGGTTTATTGAATTTGATTCTAGATTTCTTAAGTTCTACAGCCATAAGAGATTCAAAATATAGTAGGACTATAAAATTTTGGACTAGAAATTAAATTTTTTGCGCCCATTCGAAAATTCCAATCCCTTACTAATTTTACTACCCTTTGCTTCCTCAAATTCTGCATAGTCTTGCCAAATACGGCACTCTTCATCAGGTTGTATAGATTTTTCTCAAATTCGGTTGTTGCTCGAGATCTCAATAAAGTATTAAGCTCTATATACGATTTTAACCATGGACTTTGCTTAAATTTTAATACGCGATGTATTTTTGTTAAGATTAATCCGTGAGCCGAAGCTTGTTTCAAATTTTGATAATGGATAATGTATTTCTCCTTATTACAAAGGGTAGTCATTAATTTAGGCAATTTTGAACCGGGTGGAGGACGATGTTTAGCACAAAAAGGTAGATCTTTATGTTGATCAGGAATATGTTGAGGGTACTCAAGATCAACCTCCAACATATACCCCTCAGGTGCATCATTAGGGATTTGGGTGACATCAATGTTGGTATCTACCCATTCGAAACCTCCGTACGGTTGAGACATAGCCCACCCGTAGAGATTATTAACATCAAAGTACATTGATTTCGTAGAATTAAAATCAGACATATATTTATTGTTTGCTTCACCATACCAATTACAGCACTGTGATATTCCTCCTCGTATACCACCCTCAAAAAATAATAACATGTCGACATCCTGTATTGTTTCTAATGCACATTTTGTATATTTAAGCATACAATCCCAAGTATAAACTGGAACTGTATAATAATGAGCGGGGTCTAAACCGTAAGTTTTAAAACATGTATCTCTAAACGTTTCAAACACTGAGGCGAGTAAAAGTATATCGGTTTTCATGTACAAATCGCTATAATCTCCAAGAGTTTTCAAATTGAATTTTTCCCGAACTAATTTTGCGTGGTTATAATCTGTATCAGTAATATGTTGATCCATAAATTTATTATAGAAACTATTTTGATTTGGAAATTTTGTCTCTTCTAATCTTTCAATGTTAGTTAAATAATTATAAAAGAAAACACCCTTTCTAGTCAATAGCTTAAATTTTTCCTCATCTAAATCGTGGAATTCATTTTTAAGATCAGTAAAATTTTCTGGTTTCAAAGCTGCTGATAGTTTATCAAGCGAACATCCCATAAAACGAAATGTATCTTAAATTTTTATTACCCCCAACACGATTTAATATTAAAGAAAAAATTTTAGAGGAACAGTTATTCATAAGAACCAACAGAATTTTTGGAAACAAGGAAGAAAAGGCTTTGTATGTATAATCATTGTAAATCTTAAACAAAATAGTTTCATCACTGTTTTTTAGGTTTGAAATACAGAAAATTGATGTTGATGCTGAAGAAAGAATCATAAATGAGACAACAAAAAATGATCCAAAAGAAAATGATAAAAAGGGAATCAAAAGAAAGATGCCCCAAAATAATTTGAATAATTATTTTAAAAAAGTTTAAAATAAATTATTGTTTTTCATTTCAAAACTGTACGGAATATATAATTACATAATATATATTTTCTTTCTAATATGCCTTAAATACGTTCATACTATTGGGCATCTTATCCTGTCAGATTGTACAGGGTTATACATTATAAATTACCCACCCCTTATTATCGTTATTATTGCCTATAGAAACAGTCACAAATAAAAGTTGAGTGGTTATAACTATTTTTTGTTAAAATGCTATCAAATGTATAGTAGCGTGCAGATTTCAGGGGATACAAATAATACATTTTTTAAATGGGATACCCTGTATATTTTTACATTTTTATAATCCTTTTGATGAGCTGATTTCAACGATGTATCATACTTTATGTCTAATCTGGATAATAAAGGATCTATAGCCACATGAAAAATCACATTTTTGGAAATTGGAAATCTCATCTGACTTTTGAGTTTTGAGTAAAAAAAAAATGTGATTTTTCAGGTGGCTGTAGATGTTTAATATCCAGATTAGACATCAAGTGTGATCTATCGTTGAAATCAGCTCGTTGAGAGGATTATAAAAATGTAAAAATATACAAGTTATCCTCGAAAATCTGCACGCTACTGTACATTTGATAGAATTTTAACAAAAAACAGTTATAACCACACAACTTTTATTTGAAACTTTTTTTTTTCAATATGCAATAACGATAATAAGGGGTGGGTAATTTATAATGAATAACCCTGTACATACCTACTATAAAAAAATCAATCGAACCGAAATAACTGAACCGAACCGAAAAAAATTTGGTAGAACCGGACCGAACCGAAATTTTTTTTTGAGAACCGGAACCGTACCGGACCGGATTTTTTTAAATGTGATAAGAACCGGAACCGAACCGTCAATTTCATTTCGGTCCGGGTCCCTGATCATGTATGCTTCCGAATCTAATTATCAATTTCATCTATGTGTCTATTACGGACTATGACTTGCATACAAATGGTTGATACAAGGAAATGTTGGAAAAAATACTCTTTTTTTTTCTATAAATATGAACCATAAATAAATTAGAATCTACAAAAAAATATTTTATTTTAATGCAGAAAACAAATAATAAACAAACAATGACTGCACCAGTCGAAGGAAGACAAGTGTTAAATTTTAGGATTTTTTTATGTCGGATATTCATTGCTAATTTGTGATGTCAAAGAAGGCAGCAAAGCACCTAGGTAATTTTGAGTTGAAACTTATGCCATATTTTTAGGCTATTTTAAAGCTGTTTTTATGCTACTCGTTTTTTGCAAACACCAAGGTAGGGTAGACCGGGGATGAAAGTGCCATTTTTAGTAAAATGAGCTGTAAAAAATCTTTGGCAAATTACTTTTTTATTATTTTTTGTCCTTTTAATAGCTTTAACTTTAAGTTATCAAAAATTACATGAGACAAATGCGTAACATGATAAAAAAAGCCGGCAATATAATTTTTTATGGTTTCTGGTAAATGGTACTTTTTACCCCATACATGGGGTAAAAAGTACCGCCCATGGGGGTAAGTTGTGCCATGATAGGATAGGGTAGAAAATAAGTAGGTAAAGCTGCGTTTTAATGCGTTCGAATAGTTTTATCGGTTAAATAGTTACAGTTTAATCGTTATAATGTTAAAGTTTTCAAGATTACAATGTAACTTTTAATGATGAAATAGTTGACCCTCTAAGAAATATTTTTATCGTATTAATTGATCTTAAACGGAACTTGTATAAAAATAAAATTATAACTGTTTTAAATTTAAAAGACTATTTGGTTACCTACTAAATAATATATGAATACCGGGTAGGTATGTAAAATTAGTACATTCACTTTGTTGTTCTTAAAATAAACTTATATAAGAATTAAATAATAATCGTTTCAGCTTTAAAAGAGTACCTATTAGTGGTTTAAAGGGTTTTTTAGGAAATATACGTTGGCATTTGTCTCCTTTTACGTAATATAGCCATGCAAAGTTTCCCAATTTTATTTCGTAGTTTATTTTTAGCGAGAAAAATATATCTTTAGGTAAAGGTTATACGTGTTCCTCTGGAGTCGCTTTTCCAAAATTTAATTTTTTTTTTGAAAAATCTTTTATAGAAATAAATATGAAATGTATTGCCGTAAAAACCAAATCAAACTTCAGAAAAGTGGCTTCATAGCACGTTCCAATCTTTATCTATATGTACGTACGTATTTATTTCTCCAAAAATAAATAAAAATAGTGGGATACTACAAGTTTGAATAGCCTGCATTTCGTCTGACAAAGTAAATTATTTTCTAAATAATGCAAGTCTTCAAAATTCTTCCTTCTCCTCCCCCGTCATTGATGTAAATAAATCAGTCACGACGTCGGGCTGCTTAGCAAATTAAAAATTATAAAATCGCACATGGGGTACAGTGACACCCTATTTTTCAAAATAAGGTGCTTTATAAATTAAAAAAGACTTCCTCCCGTCTAAAGTGAACATGAGCATAAATAAAAGTCTCCTGGAGGTCATTATAGATCAACTAGATGGATATAAGACCGAATGAAATGATTTAAAATTAAAACACGTACATATGGAAATTAACATTTAATATTTTGAAAATATTTCAAAAGTGCAATAAATAAGTACAATAAACAAAATAAATAAGTAGGTACAATAAAAAAACAAATAAGTACACCAAACAAACTAAATATTGTCAGTTTGTGTCAAGCCTCTAGGTCTTTACAAATACATACCATACATTCTTTATAGTAGAGGAGACCGTGGGAGGTTGACCTTCATCCATCTGATAACCAGATGAGACATTTTTTTTATGATATTTTATTGATTTATTAACACTCCTACGGGAACTTGCCATTCGAAAAGTGATCATGGCTATTTTTAATTAAATAAATTTTATTAAATTTTTTTATAACCTTCACTCTTTTGATGACCGAACAAATTTAATTTTAACATAGTGAATATGCCTCGGTAGGTTTATTTACTTATTTCTGTTCATGGCTACCTAGCAAGCAGGTATGAACAGGTATATCAATATAAGTAATTACACCAATATGTCAACTAATAAAAATTGATATCAGAAAAAAGATAATTTAATTACGAAAATTAACCGTATAGGCTTGCCTGCAAAAAACTATTGATATATTGTCTATAACATTTGCCAAGTCATTCATGTACAGAATAAATAGAGTGATACCGATTTGCAGAAGTAAACAAACACTTTATTTCAGTGTAAAATCAAATATTTTATTTGCCTCTAATATTTATCAGCATAGCCATGGCCGTTTACATTGTCATTCTAAAATGTAATGTTATAATATCTCCTTTTTTTATTAATAATAATTATTTACAAAGTTTGTATAAACCACGTCAGCAAAATCGAACACGCCTCCTGTTACTCGCTTCACTAGTTCAGCTCATAATCTCAGACTGGTTTGTTAAAGAATCACTTTGCTGACTTAAATACATAAATAACTGTTATAGCAAAACAAATTTGGAATCTCATGATAGAAATAGAACTTCCATATTAAAATAGTAGTTTGTGCAACAAGAGTGAATATTATAGCCATGGTCAATCCACTTGAGTTGTACAGTATATTTTGTTATTAAAAGAAAATAACTAATTTTAAAATAATTTAAGACTATTACTGATTTATAAAATAAAATATTGAAAAAAAAATTTTAGTTAATCCCCCGCCCAGATTTAAATCCGGAACTCTCGCGTGGAAGCCAGATGCTGTAGCCTTAGCTCCACCTTCACATTTGTGATTTCAGTTTTAATACTACTATTTAAATTAGTTTTATATGGTTTGATTCAAATTTTAATTTTTTTTCTTTTTTTTTTAAATATGAACCAAATAAATAAAAAAATGCAATTATTTATCGATTCTACACACAAATAACTCATTTTAAGTTTATATTTAATTTTAGTATCTAAAAAATATACTGCCAATTAAAAATAATAATAGTAAAGTGTCCAAAATATAAAATATGATTGGTGGATTTCATTTGTTTGCAACGTTCTTACTACCTAGAACAAATATAAAATACATTGGTTCAGTTGAACGCAATAGCATACATTGACAGAGGTTCTGGAAATAAAAGCAGTGATGAAGAAAAGAAATACAGTAGTAAAAACACTGTTAAACAAGTTTTCACAATATCTCAAGAAAGGGAGCTTGTGGAATAATATATCACGAAAAAATCCAAATAAATTACGGATTATCCAATCAAGTACGAAAATTGACCTACGAATATTCACAAATGCTGACACCAGGATGGCTTAAAGGTTTCATGTCCAGAAATCAACAGTTATATTTAAGAAAACCGGAGAGTACCAGCCTCAACAGGGCAATGGCATTAAATAAAGTCAGAGTGGAGGAATTTTTTTTCTAATTATGTTAGAGTCCTAGAAAGATATGAATTCAAACCAGAGCAAATATATCGATCGTTGTCAAAATTAAAATTATAACCAACAAATTTACATTTATACGAAATGTCGACTATTAGGAAAGAAAGAAAATTATTATGTACAGGTAGTAGACAGCTATGAAAATGACTTCCTATTCGGTGGGGTTATCTAATTGTCTGTACTCTGTTGCTAGCACGCAAACGGTGAAGTGGAGAAGCCCTATTCAATATGGAGAGGTGGAGAGAACTTGCACACAGTCCTTAGAAGTATTCCTCTAATAAAA